CCGGGACTCGAACCGCGGTCAACTACATGGGAGTTCAGTGACATAGCCATTATACTAACTACTGGTCCCTATTTTTAATTGTAGCACACAGAGAGACAGAGAGGAAAAGTGAGAAAGCAAGCCTCCAGGTCTGGGACTCAAACCGTGGTCAGCCATGTGGGAGTGTCCAGCACCCTAACCACCATGCCACTGGCCAGCCCGGGGATGGATTCTTTTCAACAGTTAAAATAAAACCCTGTAACGTAAGACACCTCGGGGTTCCCTTGCTCTGTGGGCCCTCTACCTGGGCCCCCTACCCTCACTGTCAGCCCCAAGCTGAGCTGAGTCCCCACCCTGGTTCCCGCTGCTACTACCCTGCCCACCTGGCCTGACCTGAGGGGCCGGCAGCAGCAGGCAGGGCCAGCTCAAGTGAGCGCAAGAGACCAAGGGGGGCCCAGAGAAAGCCAGTCTCTCTGCTGTCCCCAGGGGCTGGGAACGGACGAGCAGCCACGTGCACAGGTCCGGCCCAGGTCCCACGGACCACCACCCTCCGAGGCCTTACCTCCCCAGCCCCGCACGAAGGAGCCCGACTGCACCCAAGCCAGCTCTCCATCTCTCCAGCTCTCCGACCTGGCTGGGACTGGAGGTGGCTCCCACGCCATGCCGCCCCTCAGCTGCCAGGACGGCAGACTGACAGAGGCCACTTACTCTGTTCGGACGGGTACTCCCGCGTGGGCAGGTAGACGGAGGGACGTCGGTTCTGCGGGAGCGGAGGGAGGAGGTGGATTAGGAGAGTGGGCAGCCCCAGAGACCCCTCGCCCCCCGACTCAGCACCCACCCTTCAACGCACATCACAACACACCCAGGACATGGCATGGGGCTGGGCTTCGAGACGGGCCTCAGTTGCCACCAAGGCCCTAATGGGGGGTGCATGCCTCCCCCAGGCCCCCCTGGCAGCTGCTCCCCGATCGCTCCCAGCCCCAGGAACGGGCACTCACCGAAGCTTTGCACACGGAGTCGGCATGAAATCGACTAAAATTACTTTTGTTGTAGACCGGCAAGCCTTTCAAAAAATCTGCCTGGAAGACACGGAGGAAGGTCGGTGAGGAACCAGGCCACGGCCAGGCACGTGGTGACCCAACGGCCCACGAGGTTGAGGCCACAGAGGAAGGTCCCAGGCTTGCACCCTGTGGCCTCCGTGTGTGCGCGGGGAGTGTCTAAGATCTGGGCTGGCTGACACTGGGGGGAGATCCCGGCATTAAGACATGGTTGGGGGTGTGTGTGTCTTTCTGTCACTGTCTGTCTCTCCCATGGAAGAGATAAAACTAAAACATGGCAGGGTCAGCAGGTAGCATCGTGGTTAAGGCACTGGACTGCCGTGTGGTCGCCCACAGTTCAAGTCCCGGGCCCCGTGGCTTGAAACTCATGCCTGGCGTGTGTGCCCAAACTCTCAAGGAGCAAGGAGAAGGGACTGCGGTGTGGCCATTTCTTGTTTTCTATTTCTCAATCTCTCTCTGTCTCTCCAGCGAGTGCACATGCCCTATAGCAAAAATCTCTCTAAAAAAAAAAAAACACAACAAAACTTAGCAATACAAGAAAAAGGAGGGACCAGCAGAGGCCATAACAACTAAGTTGCTAGACTCCTACATAGGTGACTGTGGTTCGCGTCCCGGACCCAGCAGCTTAAACTCACATCGGGCGCGTGTGCGTGCGTGCCCAAGATCCCGAGAGGAGAATGGAGGAGAAGGGATTGCGGCGTGGCCATCCCCCCTGGGGGGTGATTTCTCACTTTCTGTCTCTGTCTCTCTCTGTCTTTCTGGCGAGCACACACACCCTATAGTAAAAACTTCTCCAAAAATAAATGAATGAATGAATGAAACCAGAAAACAGGATCGTGGTGCAGGGGTAACGCAACACTCTACTCCATGAGACTGAGCCATGTGGGAAGGCTCCAGGTTCGAGTCCGGAGACCTCCCTGAACATGCTAGCAAACGTGGGCTCGGGATCCAGGGCTGGCTGATGCTGGGAGGAGATCGTGGCACAGAGACCTCATCGGAGGTGCTGTCTCTGTTGCTCTCTCTCCATCTCTTGCTCGTGGAAGTGGGAAATAAAGTTTAAAAAGAAAAAAAAAAATGCAGACAGGTGGTGAAGGCGGCTGGATCCCACGTGGCCACCTGCACAGCCCGAGTCTCAGACTTGGGGAGTTGAGAACCATGCTGGGCGCACGTGTGTGCATGCCCCGACTCCTGAAAGCATGGGGTGATGGAGGAGAGACTGCGGTGTGACCACGCCCCATGCAGGGGGAGGGCGATGCCTTCTCACTTTCTCTCTCTCCCATGGGTGTATGTGACCTCGAGCCAAAGAAGACACCAAGGGGCGGGCTTCTGGGCCACTTTGGGTTTCCTTCTCCCCCCCCTTTTTTTTTTTTTTTAATTGCCAGGGGCACAACCAGCTGATGGCATAACGGTGACATTGCTGGACTCCCATGTGGTCGACTGCGGTTCAAGTCCCGGACCCAGCGGCTTCAAATTCATGCCAGGTGCATGCGTGTGCGAGCCAAAAATCCCAAGAGGATGGAGGAGAAGGGATTGTGGTGTGGCCATTCCCCCGGGGGATGATTTCTTGACTTCTGTCTCTCTGTCTCTGTCTGTCCAGCTAGCGCACACGCCCTATAGCAAAATCTCTCTCTAAAAAAAATAAATAAATAAAATTGCCAGAGGGAGTGCGTGCTGGCCAGAGAAAAGGAGACAGACAGAAAGAAAGCCCCTGCCAGTAGGGTGTAGTGACACCGCTGTCCCTTCTCCCCCACTTCTCTGTTCTTTCAGGATCTTCGGCCTACAGACAAATGTGCCCAGCATTATTTTTCAAGCTGCCAAGCCTGGGATTCGAACTGCAGTTGGCCAGGTGGGATGTGGCTCCCTTAGCCACTGGGCTGTGGGGCCAGCCCCGGGTCTCTGTTCTTTTTTTTCCCAGAGAGATTTTTATTACGGAGCACATGCGTTCGCCAGAGAGACAAAGTGACAAATCGTTCCCCAAGGGGAATGGCCACACCGTAGTCCCGTCTCCATTCTTCTCGGGGGACTTGGGCACGGAGGCACAAGGCACCTGGAGTGAGTTTGAAGCTGCTGGGTCGGGGACTCGAACCATGGTGGATTACATGGGAGTCCAGCGATGTAACCACTACGCCATCTACTGGTCCCCAGGGTCTCCTCCTTGCCTTTCCTTTGCTGACCAAGTATTCGGGAATGCACCCTCCAGCTGCCCGCCTGTGATCTGCACCGTCACGAGCAAACACGAACCAGCACTGGGGTAGCACACCTACTCCTGGGAGGGCCTCACAACAGCCCCATTATCGGGCAAGAGGTGGGGAACCGGAGGCTCAGAGAGAAGAGGCAGATTGCTTCATTGTTTTTTTTTTTTTTAGGTTTTGCCATAGGGTGCATATGCCCGTAGAGACAGAGACAGTGAGAGGGAAAGTGAGAAATCATCCACCCGGTGGGGGGATTGTCACGCCGCAACCCCTTCTCTTCCATTCTCTTCCTGGGATCTTGGGCGCGCATGTACACGTGGCATGAGTTTCAAGTGCAGGATCCAGGACTCGAACTGCAGTCAACCATGTGGGAGTCCAGCGCTTTAACCACCATGCCACCTGCGGGCCCCCAGGCCACTTGCAGCACAAACACGGCAGAGCACAGTAAGTACTGAGCTCTTTTACCCACCGCACGGTTGTGCTGGAAAGTTCTAGAACACTGCCTGGTGGCCTTCTTTGCATCCTCCACAATCAACACAGACCTAGAATGAACAAAGACTGGGGAATCCTGAGAAGCCCCAGGGCGGCCAGCAGGGGGTGTGGTGGTAAAGACACTGGATCCCACATGGCCAACCACGTGGTTCAAGTCCCTGACCCAGAGGCTTGAAAAACACACAGGACACATGTGCATGCACCCCTAAGATGCTGATGGGATGGAGAAGTGGAGAAGGGATTGCAGCGTGATCTCTCCCCACTGGGAGAGTCTTTCTCCCTCCCTCTCTGCTGGGTTGAATGTTCAAACACGCTCCGACTATTAAAAAACAAACAAACGAAAAGGTTAAGAGTCCAGAAATAAATCTATTTTGAAGGGATTGCATTGGGGGCCAGCAGATGGCGTGGTGGTTAAGGTGCTGGACTCCCACGTGGCTGACCACAGTTCAAGTCCCAGACCTGGTGCCTTGGTATTTTCCTTTCCCTCTCTGATCACATCAAAGAAAATAATAATAGCAATAAATAAAATAATTCTTTTTTTTTTTTTTTTTGAGAGAGAGATTTTTGCTATAGGATGCACGCACTTGCTGGAGAGACAGAGGGACAGACAGAAAGAGAAATCACACCCGGGGGGATGGCCACACTGCAATCTCTTCTCCATTCTCCTCTCGGGATCTTGGGCACGCACGCACACACGCCCGGTGTGAGTTTAAGCCACCAGGTCCGGGACTCGAACGGCGGTCGACTACACGGGAGTCCAGTGACGTAGCTATTATGCCAACTGCTGGTCCCCCCGAGTCCTCTTTTTTTAACAGACAGGGTCACTTGCTCGGTTGCCCAGGCGAACCTCGAACCCAAGATCCCCCTGCCTTGGCCTCCCGAGTTGCCGGGACCACAGGTTTAGCCGCCGAACACGGTCGGCGGAACAGAAGGCTGGGGTCCCTCAGGCATGGGCTTCTCCCCATGCCCACCCTGGGCCGGGAGCTTCCCAAGGGCCCCACTACGTACAATAGAATCTCATGACCCAACCAGACAGGAGACAGTGTCTCCCTATCACAGAGACATGGAGAGGGGCAGGTGCCGCAGGTGACTCACCTCCGGTCGCCCAGCCCCAGCAGGGGCGTCCCCACCCTGAGGCCCTGTGACATTCCTGGAAGGGCTAGGAGAGCGGCCCTGGTACCCTGGGTGGTCTGTCTGCATCTCCGAGGTCCAGCAGAGTTGCCTTGGGAGGAGCCACTGCGTTGATGACCCCAGAGCCCTCAGGGACTAGCGGGGCCAGCAGGGTCCCCACCTCTGTGTGGCCCTTCTCCTCCTTGGCTGGGCCCCAGGGAGACCTCAGTGGTGACCAGCAGGGACAGGCTGGGAAGCTGGACTGTGGCCAGGCCCTCCCAGGAGGTGGCCCTCCTACCCGGTGACCTATTGTCCCAGGGCCAGTTCCGAGTCCCTTGGCCCCACCTCCTCCCCTCCCCACCCCAGGCCCCCTGCCCCAGCTCCACCCAGACCGGGGCCAGCTTCAGCCAACTGGCAAAGCGTCTTTAGGCCTCTCGTCCGTGTCCAGGCCGGGTGCCAGGACACGGCCAAGCCACACGGACCACATTCGGCCTTGGGGAGCACCCGGTGCTTGGGGTCATGGGTGTGGATCGAACGTTCACGGGCTGAACAGGAAATGGCTTTGGGGACCTCCAGGCTGCTTTGGGGCACCATAGGTGGCCCAGCATGTGGGAGCTGGAGGTCTGGCCAGTCTGGGGGACCAGGGAAGACCCACCCCCTGGATATAACGATAACAGGTACTGGGACTTGCAGGGTCCTGGGGGTCCCCGTGCCTGCTCTGTTCACACTCCCCCATACGCCTGCTGGCCTCCCGCCTCCGAGTGGGAAACCCTGCCAACCTGCCCCCAGTTCACACCCCTCCCCCTTCATCTCCTGACTCCTTAGGAGTCTCGCCCAGAGCCTGGCGCACACCCTGATGAGGTTGCCCATTCAAATGGCCACCACTGGGGCCAGCGGGTGGCATAGTGGTTAAGGCGCTGGACTCCCACATGGCTGAGCACAGTGTGAGTCCCGGATCTGGTGGCTTAAACCCACGCCGGGCGCGTGTGCGTGCGTGCCCACGATCCTGAGAGGAGAATGGAGGAGAAGGGATTGCGGCGTGGCCATCCCCCCTGGGGGGTGATTTCTCGCTTTCTGTCTCTCTGTCTCTCCGGTGAGCACATGTGCCCTATAGCACAAATCTCTCTAATAAAAAAGAAAAAGACAAGCCGTAACTGGCTGGTCTGGCGTGTCCCCAAGGGCAGAGGGCAGGGCAGGGCAGGGCTGACTCAACCCCAGGCCCTGCAGGCCTTACACAGGGCCGGGCAGCTAAGTGGTGAGAAGGTTAGAGACCTGGACGTCCTGCCCTCAATCCTGTCCCTCCCTGACTGTGACCTGTGATGAGTGACCTCCTAGCCTGGTCCCCTCCCTTACAAAACAGGCCACTCAACGAGGCCGCCTCCCAGGGCTGTTCAGTGTCTCAGCCAGACGACATAGAGAGCAAGCTTGGGGGGGGGGCCTCCAGGGCAGCCATCAGCATAAACGCGCTCACTCTGAATACATCAATGGACAGGTGGTAGGGATGGTCCTACGTCCTGCAGGCTAAGCGGGAAACAAGGCCTGGGGACACGGAGTTGGGGGCGGGGAGACGGCAGCGCAGCGGTAAACTCAGTGCTCTGTGAGGCTGACCCACACGGGGAGGTTCTGGGTTCGTATCTGGGGACCTCCCTGAACACACGGGGCACGTGCGTACTCAGGGCTGGCAGAGACTGGGGTGGATCTTGGCGTCAAAGACCGTCCTGGAGGTGCTGTCTCTCTTGCTCACACATGGAAGGAATATATCAATTTAAAAATTAAAAGACGGGGCCAGCAGGTGGCGTGGTGGTTAAGGCGCTGAACTTCCACATGGCCCACCGCGGTTCAGGTCCCAGACCTGACAGCTTGCTTTCTCACTCTCTGGTCAAATGAAAATAGATAAATAAAGTTACATAAGATAATTCTTTAAAAATTATTATAATAATAAAACAAGGCCAGAAGGTGGTATGGTGGTTAAGGCACTGGACACTCCCACATCGCCAACTACAGTTCAAGTCCCGGACCTGGTGGCTTGCTTTCTCACTTTGCCTCCTCTGTGTCTCTCTCTGGTCAATTTAAAAAGAATGAATGAATAAATAAAATTAAATTAAGTATTCTTTTAAAAAATAGTAATAATAATAAGGCATGGGTCAAGAGCCGGTAAGTGGCTTAGTGGTTGTGCAGACCGCAGTTCAAGACCCGGACCTAGAAGCTTGAAACTCACGCCGGGTGCGTGTGCATCTGTGCCCAAGATCCCAAGAGGAAAATGGAGGAGAAGGGATTGTTGCGTGGCCATCCCCCCTGGGGGGTGATTTCTCACAGTCTCTCTCTCTGTCTCCGGCAAGCACATACACCCTATGGCAAAAATCTCTCTCTAAAAAACCAAAACTACAGGTCAGCCAGTGCCATGGTGGTTAAGGAACTGGATCCCACATGGCCAAAGGCATGGTTTGCGTCCTAGACCTGGCAAGTTAAAAAACACACCGGGTGGCCCAAGATCCCGAGAGGAGAATGGAGGAGAAGGGATTGCGGCGTGGCCATCCCCCCTGGGGGATGATTTCTTGCTTTCTGTCTCTCTGTCTCTCTCTGTCTGTCTGGCAAACGCACGCACCCTATAGCAAAAATCTCTCCAAAAAAAAAAAGAGAAAAAAACAAAACACCAGGCATGTGTGCATACGTGCCCAAAATTCCAAGAGGAGAATGAAGAGGATGGACTGTGGCATAGCCACCCCCCTGGGGGTGACTTCTCACACACCCCTGACTCTCTGGCGAGCATGCACCTTATAGCAATCAATCAATGGATGGGACGGGGGACAGAAATCCTCACTTGAGCCAGATAAATCCCAGCCACAGTTGGCCCCGGAAGCCATCCACTGCTTCAGCAAAAACTACTGACCCCTCTGAATACATCAATGTGTCATGGTCCCCATAGGTGCAGGAAGACCCACTGAGGCTAGTTATGGGAAGTTGACGTATCAAGCGGGGAAAGACGTGGGGGCCTCCCGCCAACAGGAAGAGCCTGTCTCAGGAAGCGATGCTCCTGAGGGGAAGAGTATTCCAGGCCGAAGCAGCAGGTGCAAAGGGCCTGGGGTGGCAGGAACTTGGGCGTGTGAGAGTGTGAAAACAAGGCCAGTGTGGTTGAAGTTTGCAGAGGAGGGAAGAGGGTGGAACGAGGTCACAGAGGGGATAGAGGATGTGGGAATCCAGTGCCTTAGCTACTATGCCACCTGCTGGCCCCCTCCCCAGTCAGGATTTGGGCCACGTACGCGACCAGAGAGCTTTTCAAAGTGCTGGGTTGGAGACTCAAATTGGGGTTGGCTGCACGGGCTCAGTTCCCACAACCACACGGTTGGCCCAATTTACCTCTTTAAAAAGCTCCCCTGGGGCCAGCAGGTGGCGTGGTGGTTAAGGCACTGGATTCCCACACGGCAGACTTGAAGGTTTGAGTCCCAGACCCAGCAGCTTGAAAAATCACACCGGGCGCATGTGCATGTGTACCCAAAATCCTGAGAGGAGAGTGGAGGAGAAGAGATTGCAGAGTGGCCTTCCCCCCTGGGGGTGATTTCTCATTTTTTTTCTCTCTCTAGGGATCCTACACGCCTTATAGCAAAAATTAAAAAGAAAACAAACCCCTCTGGATCAAGGGTAATGTTATGGATGGCCAGACTGGTGAGTTCAAGCAAGAAGACCAGGGAGGAGGCTGGGAGGTGTCACTCCTTGGACCAGGTGGGACAATGTGGATGGATTTGGGGTGTGCCCTGAAGCTAGTCCCAACCAATAGAGCCCTCTTATGGCTGGAGTGTGTGCGTGGGCAAGGCTAGGGCCAGTAGGTGGCATAGGACTTAAGGCACTGGCCTCCTACACAGCCGACCAGGGTTCGAGTCCCAGATCGGGGTACATGTGCGTGCATGCCCAAGATCCCTAGAGGAGAATGGAGGATAAGGGACTGTGGCATGGCCACCCTGGGGGCATGGTTTCTCACATTTTTTCTGTTTCTCCTACGAGCACACACACCCCATACCAAAAATCTGTCTTAAAAAAAAAAAAGGGTGTGGCAAAGACTTAAGGACAGCCCCCAGAGTTGGGGACCCTCACACTAGCAATCAACTTCCCATTGTCCTTCCTGTACCCATTTCCCACCAAATCCCGAGGACTGTGGGTGAGGGGCTGGGGCTCTGGGCCACGAGGCCTTGACTCCATCTTCCAAACTCATCATCACTCCTGGCAGCAGAGAGGATGCCAAACAATAGGAACTGGGGAGGGGCTGGAGCCCAGGCTGGGTCCCCTTCTCACTTTACAGAGAGGCGGAACCCCAAATAGCCATAAGACCCAAATGGCAGGACAGGTGTGCAGCCCTGGAAGGTTGACTCTCCCCTCCCCACGACCCCCTGGGGATCTTCCTCACTTCCTAACGAGGAGACAGCTGGGGGAGGTCGTCCCCCACCCCAAGTCACCCAACTCATCTGTGGATCACTCACTGTCCTGAGCCCTTTGCGACCCGAGTGCCCTCCAGGGTCACAACCCTATGAGGTGTGGGTTCTGGCTACCCTCACCTTACAGGGACCAGGGCCTGCAGGTCACAGAGATGGAAAGTGTCACTCTTAGAAGCAGGTGGGGACCCAGAATGACAGGGGTGGGGCCAGGGCCCTGGGACACCGGACAGATGGCGATGTCGCACTTCCTTTGGTGACAAAGCCCCGTGTGTCGCCGTGTCAAGCCCCCTCCCCCGCTCCAGTGCCCAGGTTGGCCCCCCCCAGTCCTCCCGAACTGGAAAGACCCAGACCCGGTGCGCTGAGAAAAGAGGCCAGATCTGGGAGGGAGGAGGGGGGGGGTCTCAAGGGACCCCATCCCCACCCTAGACGATTTCCGGGGGGGAGGGGGAGGGATCCGCGACCCGGAAATGAATGAGTTGTCAGGGCCTGGAAGCCTAAATAGGGTCAGGGGTAGAGAAAAGAGCCAGAATAGAATCAAGAGGAAGCTCGCGGCAGGGTCTGGGGGGGTCAGAGGTCACAGGTCAACGCAAGGGGCGGGGCCAGGCCCGAAGGGGCCCGGCAGGGCGGAGACGGGCCTCGGGGGGATACTAAAGGTGGGTGGGCCCGCGGCGCCATTTTGTTGGGTAAGAGGGGAGTACCGGCCCGGGGGCCGCCCTTACCATCTTCCGTCTTCTTCGGCGCCCCC